CTCTCTCTCTCTCTCTCTCTCTCTCTCTCTCTCTCTCTCTCTCTCTCTGGTTGTCTCTATTTCTATTTCATCTCCTTCTATCTCTATCTCTGTCCCTGCATTATATTATATTATAGAATTTCAATTTATGCGGAATAGCTTTATCTTTCGTGTATTATGAAAAATTTTATCAAATTTGAAGAGAAGTAAGATTCTTGTATGGAAATATAAAATTAAGCTATAATAATGCATATAACTTAAGAACCATATTTTATGCTAATCATATCTTGAAGAACAAATTTTAATTCAGTGAGAATCGATTAAAATCTTAGCTATAGAAGTGGGTTTTCTTACTCAAATATATATTGTGACTGATTAACAAAATAGAAGTAAGGAAAACCCAAAAGAAAAAATATAAAGTAGTATTAGAATGATATAGAAAAAACAGTGCAACAAGCAATCGATTTTCGCTGGAATATATGCAAATGTATACGCAACTGTCCAGTCCTTTTGTTTGATCGTTGAATTCATTGAATAGTTAATTAATGACCATTGCTACTGCTATCATTAATGTTATTACACAACTGCTACTATTATTAGTACTAGTATCTTCACTGCAAAACTATTATTACTATTACAAGGAGATGAAGGAACGAGGTAATAAATTGAGATTATTATTCTATAAATTTTATGTTAAAACTAATGTTTATTATTTATGAAATAAGTGCCAAGATAGTGTAATTCTTGTACGTTTTTACAAATTTGTTTTTCATGTATATTTATATATATATATATATATATACGTATATATACATATATATGTACATATATATGTATGTATGTATGTAAAATGTATTACTATGACCGACATCATTATTACAATAATAAGTGAATAATTTTAAAAATCTTATGTAATAAGAAAAAAAAATGTATAACCTCGTCTCCTAATATTCTTCATTTATAAGTAGTCAGCATTAAAAGTTAGATTTGAATGATACATACGGCAGTATATTTATATTCAGAAATCATAAAGTAGTCATGCAATTCGCATGTATATTGAGTAGATGTCTGTTGTTTGTACGCCTGGACGAGTTTCGATAGCTAAATAAATGGATCTCACAATTTATGATCTATAACAAAAAATAGAATAAAAAAAAAAAAAAAAGAAGATCCAATCGAAAAAGATGATAAATAGAATATTTCGAAAAAATCGAAGAATTAATTTTAAGTAGAATTCCAATTAAAAAAAAAAATATATAAGGATATGCGAATTAAGCGTTTACGTGTTTAGACGCTGCGAACCGAAAATTGTCTTGTGAATATTTTCTTGTCTTTGTATCTATTCTTATTGAAAAGAATCGTTTTGATGTGATCCAGGAAAAAAAAAATACTGTTTCTACGGATACACTATATATTGCATTTATAAACAAAATTAAGAAAACACAGAAAGAAAAAAAGAATAATGTAAAATACACAAATACATTCATATAACGTAAATAAGAATATTCTTATTGCGTTATATCTTTTTCTATAAAATTGGTATTATACAAGATATCTAAATTATTTATTAATATGTACATTACAGAAATTATTCGTTTGATTAATTTGCTGCCTATTTTTCATAACGTTTATATAATTAATTTCGCGTATTTATTCAGTTTATATGAAATTGCAATTTTTATATTCATATATTATATTCATTCTTTTTAAAGGTAAAGATTCTTTATTAAAAATCGAAAATGAAACTCTTTGCTAATGAAAAATTCGAATATTGAAAGTAATTTGTGATTATAACATTTTCAAAGTGTAAATATATATATTAAAGAATATAAAGCAGGTCACACGTGTACCTTACATTCGATATTTTTACAATTCTTACTTGAGTTCCTATTACAGACAAGATGTAATTTATAAATGTGGTATCTAGTATACGTGGAAATCAGGCACCGTCTTGCCAAACGATTACTTTCATAATGTGCTGTGTTTTGTGAACTTGAATGAGAGAATCTGATGATGCTATACATATATACATATATATATGTACGTATGTGTATATATACATGTATAAATGTTTTCTGTGTATGTAAAATCAATACTTCTTAGTAAAAATTGAAAAAAAAGTAATATTAACAAAAATTGATCTTTCGAACGATAAAGCCCATTCTATATACTATTAATTACAATTACGATATTTGCATTAACGTTATTTTCTTCTGTTATGTAACTTCAAGAATAGAAATCGTTGTGCATCTTGCTACTTTTTCTCCTTATTGCTTTGAATATATATGTTACATCGCAAAAGCATTCGAAACATATTGATGATTCATAGGCGTATAAAATACAGTGGATTTCCGTAAGAAAAAAAGATGTGTAAATTGTTTTCTTTGCAAGCACAAACTTAGTACTTGCATAGAATTATACTAATAGCAAATAAAAAATCTTATATAAATATCAGTCTCTACTGCGATTAGTTAATCTTAATTTTGTTTTAAGTTTGATTTTTTATTTTTTGCTGTTTTCAAAAAAATAAAAAAAATTTGTTTTTAAAACAAAAGAATAATCATGTACATAGGTAATTAAAAAAAGATACAAATGACTCTGTAAATACATAAAATTTTCACCATTTGTTTTAACTTTTATTAAATTAACATTTCGACTGTGGATTAAAATTTTTTACATGATATTATCCACGACTTATGTTATGTATAAAAAAAACTGTACAGTTTAACATTTTCTTTTTTTTTCTCTCTCTTTTACTTTCTTAACTCGTAAGAACGAGAAAACATTCATTCAAGCATTCAGAATTCACTTACTCATAAATCACGCACAATTAAGGCGCTTTTCACCTTTAGTTTGCTATTCATTATATATAGTAAATATATCACCAAATACCTCATCTATGTATGCATTCCCATTGATGAATCACTAATTTTTTATAGGTGGAAGTACTTTGGTATAGAATATTATTTAGTGAAAAGCATAGAGTAACATGAGAAATGTGCAAAATCCGATAATAAAGCCGAGAATAAGTGAATCTCGCCTTTTACGTAGATTTATCCTTTGCACTAAACTATTTACTGCTGGAAATCGATTTGACATGTCATTTAATCTGGTTTGTATACGTTTGAATGTTTGTCTTTGCGTCATCAAATGATCGCGCGTTTCCATTGCTATGCTTATTTGATCATTAAGCAAACGATCCGAACTGAAAAAAAATTTTTACTAATCTTATATTTGCCAAAAAATGTAACAAACAGGGTACTTTATACATTATGTACAAGTAGAATGAAGTAGTAAAGAATAGTAAAACAATTAATATAATAATCATTACTCACTTGTGAATATGTTGATTTTCTTTCATGTACATTTCCCGTCGATTCAATCCACTCACATTTTTGTAATTACTATTTCATAGAAAATTTATAAATTCTTAATTAAATATTTAAAAATGAAAAATAATTTGAAATAAAAAAAAGTAATAAGTATACATACTCAATTTCTTTACGAACACTTCCTAATAAATCTTCTCTATCTCTTCTTGCAGCAAAATTATTTCTAATTTTATTGAATTCTAATTTATAATCTTTTAATATGTCTTTATGACGTTGCATTGTATGTAACATTGCAGCACCATTTGGTTGTAATTTACTCATTTTTTCATTTATAGAGAATAACTGTAATAAATATATAATTTAAATCATTGCAATATTTAACATTAGAATTTAAACTTACTTTAGCAAGTAATGTTTCTATTTCAGAAGCCATATTTTCAAAGACATGTTCTTCATCCAAAAGAGGTACTTCATCACTGTTAACAAGTTTAGCTCCAGTATTAACACCAAGTTTGCTGAATGCTACCAATTTAGCATCAATTTCATTTTCCAAATGTCTTGCTTGCCTTCTGAGATCTAAAATTAAATATGAAATTAATAATATTAAAAAGTACAAACATTAGTAAAAATAAATTATATTTTTCTACTTGTTAGAAAGAGATAAATTCCTCAATGAGGTTAGGGATACTAATAGTAAGATTTGCATGAAATTATTTATTATTTTAATTATTATGAGATTTTTTATGAAATGATTTTAGATTTATAAAAATCTAAATATAAAATCAATTTTCAAACTATAATTACATATATTAATAATATAATTATTTAAATTATATTTTTTACATTCCAATGAGTTTTAATATAATGAAAATAAAATATTTTTGATATAACATTTATGTAAAGAAAAATATTTTATTTTTATTAAATTTT